TCTGCACAGTTATCAAGGACATATAACTCCATGTGGACCAAGTGTCCCGTCAGGACAGTTATCAAGGACATATGGCTACAGGTGGCCCAAGTGGCCCATCAGCACAGTTATCAAGGACATATGGCTACAGGTGGCCCAAGTGCCCCGTCAGCGCAGTTATCAAGGACATATGGCTACAGGTGGCCCAAGTGCCCCGTCTGCACTGTTACCAAGGACATATGGCTACAGGTGGCCCAAGTGCCCCGTCAGCACAGTTATCAAGGACATATGGCTACAGGTGGCCCATGTGCCCCGTCAGCACAGTTATCAAGGACATATGGCTACAGGTGGCGCAAGTGCCCTGTCAGCACAGTTATCAAGGACATATGTGTACAGGTGGCCCAAGTGCCCCGTCAGCGCAGTTATCAAGGACATATGGCTACAGGTGGCACAAGTGCCTCCTCAGCGCAGTTATCAAGGACATATGGCTACAGGTGGCCCAAGTGCCCTGTCTGCACTGTTACCAAGGACATATGGCTACAGGTGGCCCAAGTGCCCCGTCAGCACAGTTATCAAGGACATATGGCTACAGGTGGCCCAAGTGCCCCGTCAGCACAGTTATCAAGGACATATGGCTACAGGTGGCCCAAGTGCCCCGTCAGCACAGTTATCAAGGACATATGGCTACAGGTGGCCCAAGTGCCCCGTCTGCACTGTTACCAAGGACATATGGCTACAGGTGGCCCAAGTGCCCCGTCAGCACAGTTATCAAGGACATATGGGTACAGGTGGCCCAAGTGCCCCGTCAGCACAGTTATCAAGGACATATGGGTACAGGTGGCCCAAGTGCCCCGTCAGCACAGTTATCAAGGACATATGGGTACAGGTGGCCCAAGTGCCCCGTCAGCACAGTTATCAAGGACATATGGGTACAGGTGGCCCAAGTGCCCCGTCAGCACAGTTATCAAGGACATATGGCTACAGGTGGCCCAAGTGCCCCGTCAGCACTGTTACCAAGGACATATGGCTACAGGTGGCCCAAGTGCCCCGTCAGCACAGTTATCAAGGACATATGGGTACAGGTGGCCCAAGTGGCCCGTCAGCACAGTTATCAAGGACATATGGCTACAGGTGGCCCAAGTACCCCGTCAGGACAGTTATCAAGGACATATGGCTACAGGTGGCCCAAGTGGTCCGTCAGCACAGTTATCAAGGACATATGGCTACAGGTGGCCCAAGTGCCCTGTCAGCACAGTTATCGAGGACATATGGCTACAGGTGGCCCAAGTACCCCGTCAGCACTGTTATCAAGGACATATGGGTACAGGTGGCACAAGTGCCTCCTCAGCGCAGTTATCAAGGACATATGGCTACAGGTGGCCCAAGTGCCCTGTCTGCACTGTTACCAAGGACATATGGCTACAGGTGGCCCAAGTGCCCCGTCAGCACAGTTATCAAGGACATATGGCTACAGGTGGCCCAAGTGCCCCGTCAGCACAGTTATCAAGGACATATGGGTAGAGGTGGCCCAAGTGCCCCGTCAGCGCAGTTATCAAGGACATATGGCTACAGGTGGCCCAAGTGCCCCGTCTGCACTGTTACCAAGGACATATGGCTACAGGTGGCCCAAGTGCCCCGTCAGCACAGTTATCAAGGACATATGGGTACAGGTGGCCCAAGTGCCCCGTCAGCACAGTTATCAAGGACATATGGGTACAGGTGGCCCAAGTGCCCCGTCTGCACTGTTACCAAGGACATATGGGTACAGGTGGCCCAAGTGGCCCATCAGCACAGTTATCAAGGACATATGGCTACAGGTGGCCCAAGTGCCCCGTCAGCGCAGTTATCAAGGACATATGGCTACAGGTGGCCCAAGTGCCCCGTCAGCACAGTTATCAAGGACATATGGCTATAGGTGGCCCAAGTGCCCCGTCAGCACAGTTATCAAGGACATATGGCTACAGGTGGCCCAAGTGCCCCGTCTGCACTGTTACCAAGGACATATGGCTACAGGTGGCCCAAGTGCCCCGTCAGCACAGTTATCAAGGACATATGGCTACAGGTGGCCCATGTGCCCCGTCAGCACAGTTATCAAGGACATATGGCTACAGGTGGCGCAAGTGCCCCGTCAGCACAGTTATCAAGGACATATGTGTACAGGTGGCCCAAGTGCCCCGTCAGCGCAGTTATCAAGGACATATGGCTACAGGTGGCACAAGTGCCACCTCAGCGCGGTTATCAAGGACATATGGCTACAGGTGGCCCAAGTGCCCTGTCTGTCTGCACTGTTACCAAGGACATATGGCTACAGGTGGCCCAAGTGCCCCGTCAGCACAGTTATCAAGGACATATGGCTACAGGTGGCCCAAGTGCCCCGTCAGCACAGTTATCAAGGACATATGGGTACAGGTGGCCCAAGTGCCCCGTCAGCGCAGTTATCAAGGACATATGGCTACAGGTGGCCCAAGTGCCCCGTCTGCACTGTTACCAAGGACATATGGCTACAGGTGGCCCAAGTGCCCCGTCAGCACAGTTATGAAGGACATATGGGTACAGGTGGCCCAAGTGCCCCGTCAGCGCAGTTATCAAGGACATATGGCTACAGGTGGCCCAAGTGCCCCGTCTGCACTGTTACCAAGGACATATGGGTACAGGTGGCCCAAGTGCCCCGTCAGCACAGTTATCAAGGACATATGGGTACAGGTGGCCCAAGTGCCCCGTCAGCACAGTTATCGAGGACATATGGCTACAGGTGGCCCAAGTACCCCGTCAGCACTGTTATCAAGGACATATGGGTACAGGTGGCCCAAGTGCCCCGTCAGCACAGTTATCAAGGACATATGGCTACAGGTGGCCCAAGTGCCCCGTCAGCACAGTTATCAAGGACATATGGGTATGGCCCACAGGTGGCCCAAGTGGCCCGTCAGCACAGTCAGCAGGTGGCCCAAGCGGCCCGTTATCAAGGACATATGGGTACAGGTGGCCCAAGGCCCCGTCAGCACAGTTATCCCCGTCAGCACAGTTATCAAGGACATATGGCTACAGGTGGCCCAAGTGCCCCGTCAGCACAGTTATCAAGGACATATGGCTGGCAGGTGGCCCCAAGTGGCCCGTCAGCACAGTTATCAAGTATATCCCAAGGACATATCGAGGACATACAGGTGGCCCAAGTGGCCCGTCAGCACTGTTATCAAGGACATATGGGTACAGGTGGCCCAAGTGCCCCGTCAGCACAGTTATCAAGGACATATGGGCTACAGGTGGCCCAAGTGGCCCGTCAGCACAGTTATCAAGGACATATGGCTGGGTAGGTGGCCCAAGTGCCCCGTCAGCACAGTTATCAAGGACATATGGCTACAGGTGGCCCAAGTGCCCCGTCAGCACAGTTATCAAGGACATATGGGTACAGGTGGCCCAAGTGCCCCGTCAGCACAGTTATCAAGGACATATGGGTACAGGTGGCCAAAGTGCCCCGTCAGCACAGTTATCAAGGACATATGGCTACAGGTGGACCAAAGCACCGGTATTATTACTGATAAACTTCTAATTAGACCAATCACCTAACAAAGCTGGGTACCATTCGTACCAAATCGGACAGAGACACAAACCTGCTGCCTCCTCCACGTGTGGCTGTTGTGTGCAGAAGACGGAAAAATCAAACTGCGTCATCGGCCGGGTTCTGTCTGTAAAGAAGGCACAGTCCACCGGCGGAAACAGAACGCACTGTGGCCACAGGTAAACACAGGTGAACACGACTTGTCTCCCTTAGACCATACTGGACCCACCATAATTTCACTGCTTATGCTCTGCAGGATACCATGTAGGTCCAGAGTGCAGGCTGGTTAAACGTGGACACTTAAAGGATTTTTGTCTTCTGAAACTGACTGCAGATGCTGACACATGAGGCTTTTATACTACTCAAAACAAGTCAAGAACACCCATATAAACTGGAGGCCATTCTCACCTGACTGATTAACTTAAGGCGTAGGAAACACTGAGATACTTTTAATTCCTTTTGAGTAGTGTATATAGTGTATCATTTACTTCACATTCAATCTAGTATACTTCCTCGTAAGGCTTACGAAATGTGAGATAGTCTAGATTCCACGGGTAGTCAAACCAGATTCAAACACACACACACACAGACAGACAGACAGAGACACACACACACACACACACACACACACACACAGACACACAGACAGACAGACAGAGACATATAATAGATTCGACCTTGTGTTCATGTGCTAACGATCTTGCTTGTGCTCAAGTTGGATGTATAAGGCTCAACACTAATCCCGGGAGATATCACAGAATTACAAAATCTGGAAACGTATGCATATATCGTAACTTAAACAATATCGAAGATATGAAGCATTTCACCCTTATATAAATATGTCATGCAATAAACAACTGATTTTGACCCTTAACGGGTATTCACAGCTTCCTCCTGCATCTAACGTGATGCAATATTTATACAACTCCGCCATGTTACTATTTGCACACTATTAAGTCAGGATAATTATAGGGGTGGGGAAGTAGCCTAGTGGTTAAAGTGTTCGCTCGTCACGCCGAAGACCCGGATTCGATTCCCCACATGGGCGCAATGAATGTGGTGTCCCCCGCCGTGATATTGCTGGATATTGCTAAGAGCGGCATAAAACCATACTCGCTCACTCACTCAGTCAGGAAAATAGATACAGAGTCACAACGTGAACAAACACGGAACTTCCTTGATCAACAATTCAAATTTAACGTTTCGGTAACGTTTTCCACTTCTTAGTAAATCGTTGACTTGTTCTACTGAGTTTAGTGGCCTCGGACTCACGATGACCCGTACAAGAAAGCTTGTCCCTCTGCTGCTGCTGCTGCTGCTGCTGTCGGTGTGTTCAGTCCGTTCACATGAATGTGGAGTTAACATCACCTGTGAAAAACATCGAACCCATTGTTTTCAATGTGAATGTGGAAACCCATGTGCGTTTTGCTCGAACGCTAACCTTACTTTCATACCTGACCTCCACATGGACATACTCCTCCTCAACTTCACAGAAAACCACCTGGGTGTTCTTTCCAGGGAGACTTTCACAAATGTCACCGCTGTTCAAATATTGACGCTGAAAAACAACAAAATTGCCTCGATACATGTGGACGCATTCGAATTGCTTCGTAACATGACTTGTTTGGATTTGTCTGGAAACAGTCTTTGTGAAGACAAGTTCTTATTGTTGAATATGACCCGTGCTGTGGGGAATACAAGAGTTCAGCTGCTTCTTCTAGAACGTATTGGACTCAATGATACTTCTATGGAACAGTTAAGACATATAGCGTCACATGCATTGAGGAGAGTTGTTATCAGTGACAACACTATTACCCACCTCGACCTATCAATATTTGAAAATAATCCAAATCTTACAGCTATCTCAGCTGAATATTGTAAAATTCAGTCGACGACTTTTATACCGTTACCATCTCTAACAGAGTTAAATTTAAGGTATAACTATATGAAGGAGATTCCAGACTTCTGCAAACCCACCAATCAAAGCATTCCACGACTGGCGAGTCTCAACATCGACCGTAATAAATTACAATTACTTAACTCTAGCAAATTTGATTGCCTTAGAAACTTGAAGCATCTGTTCATTTCACGAAATGATTTACAATATATTAATCTAAATACTTTTTCAACTCTACCCAATCTGATGGAAGTATTCCTGCAGGTTAGTTTGGCTTGTATCAGCATGGAGGAAGAAAAACCTTATCAACGAATCCACGCCTATTCATTTAACAACAGTCGTCTGACCACCATAGTTCTGCAGGGATGTCAGCTGAAATTCCACATGGATGTAAGCTCGCATGCTTTTGCTGGCTGTTCAGGCCTTTTACACTTAGACCTCTCTGGCAACTACCTGGACCGGGTGACGGAAGACAACATGATTGTGTTATTGGGCAATTTGTCCAGTTTGAGATCCCTAAATCTCGCCAAATGTGGATTGCCATCTATTCCTAGAGTTATATCACAGAAACTTCACGGACTCCAACGTCTTAATTTATATGAGAATAATATAAACTATGTGAGAGTGGACACCTTCAAAAAACTGACTCAGCTCAAACGGTTATATCTAAACGGTAACCGTTTTGTGTTTTTAAGTAAGGATGCATTCTTCAAAACATTTTTGTCTCAGCTGGAAATATTTGATCTTTCTGAGAACAGAATATCGTGTACTTGTGAGAATCTCTGGTTCATACAATGGCTACAGGAGCGTGGCTCAAGCAACTCCTCTCCAATACATGGAAAACACTACACCTGTGCTAGTCCGTCTGACATGCAAGGCCAACTGATCACAAGTTCCCAGCTGTCCACACAGAGATGTCTCATTTCACCCCTGCTGTTTCCGTCTGTGGTGATCATGTCCGGTCTCATCGTGCTCGCCATACTTGTTATCACGTTCATCCACAGGTGGCGCTGGCGCTTACGCTACTGTATCTACATGCTTAGGTATAAGAAGAGAAGACATGGTGGCCAGGAGCGGATGACCTTCGTCTATGATGCCTTTGTTATGTACGCTGATGCTGACTCTCTGTGGGTCAGGAGTCAGCTGATGACTAATATCGAGACCACGCAAAGACTCACTCTGTGTATTCACGAGAGAGATTTTATACCCGGACAATATATTGTAGATAACATTGTAACTTCTATGGAAAAGAGCAATAAAGTTATCCTTGTGCTGTCCAACAACTTTAGTGAAAGCCCTTGGTGTCAGTTTGAGTTGACTCTGGCCCAGAAACGTGCGATGGAGCAGGACCATGGGTACCTGGTGGTGATTCGGCTGGATGAGGTGCATGACAGAAACATGACGCCATCACTGTATGCTCTGCTGCAGACGACAACATACGTGTCCTGGCCGACCGAAGAAGATGACAGACCGCTGTTTTGGGACCGTATTGGACGGTGTCTGCAGCAATAAGTACCATACTACTGTAAGTGCTAAGGTTTTCAAAACTGTGCAAAGGTTGGCATAAGTAGGGATTTCATCTGTAGATATGTGGTGTTTCCATATTTTGGATCTGACCGACGCTGTTGCGTTCCTTTGATGGCAAGATTCTAATTTCGCTCTGATTTCGTTTGGTTTTATAGTACCATACCTGCATTCCTGACTTTCTTTTATTCAGTAATTTTTGACTTTCCTCACACAAGTGTTGCATAATTTTCCAAGTACGTACCCAATATATGTTTTATGTATTTTTGAATGGACTGTGTATAGCCACCACAAGTGTATTTCCTTTTATCACATAATCAAGTAAATCTGTATAAAATAGAAAACATAAATGCACTACATGTATGGCGCCGGCTCATGCTTTAGTAAAGAATGTTGTTGTATTTCTCAACATATATTTCAGACAGCAATGCTGTATGATTTTTGAAGTGAGTCTGTTATCGTTTGTCTCGGAGAACAAAACAGCCAGTGTTTCATGGTCAGGTTCCATGTGGACCTCCTGGTATCCAGACCTAACAACGTTACCTAACAACAGTACCTGTAGGATGAGGACAGGCTTATTGCACAAAACGAAATCATGTCTGCGTTGACATCATATCGTTTCCGCATCTTATTAATTACTCCCCTGCTTTCTAAACCACGAATTTATCGATGACATCACCTGGGACAACGATTATCTTTTTATTTGTGAAATAAATCCGTGTAGTATATACTGGTATTTTGTATACTCTACGGTGTACTTTGAGAAAGTCCTGCGCGAGATTGTGTTAAACAAGACCAGCGTATACTATGAATATTTGTAAACGTAATAGATCAGGCTATTGTCTGATTGTTATAGTTTTAAATCCACCCCATGTAATGTTTATAATGAATAAAGATTTTCAAACCAAATTGGCTTGTTTGGAATGTAATTGAGGGGATTTATATCATGTAGTGATGCTATTTCCTGGTGTTATTGTGTAGCTATAGTGCGTTTGCTGCAAAATCATACCGATGAAATGGCAAATAAATACACATTCGAAAGCAACAAATTGTCTGAAATGGCATGAAAGTTAGCCATTTGTACATACCAAATCGTCACTATGAGAAAAAGTTGTTTAACAAACGATCATGTAAATGTTGGTGTTTTAAGGACTGTTGTAACAGCGGGGTATAATGTGGTTCATCAAAGAACATGGTTGGATGTCTCTACAATCAAAACTCATTGTATAACGGCTTCCTGTACCTGACCAGATTGGATCTACTTTCCTCCCTTCTCGCTCCCAACACACGTTATTACCAGGATGACGTCGTTTCGGCGGTGGTGTCGTAAGCTGACGTAGCCAACCATTACTCTGCATATCGACCAATTAATACACACTCACTCATACACTCCAGATACGCGGACAATGAAACAAATGACCATACACATTCAATCATCTTTATACTGTACTGTCACTGTTCACTTTCGCATTTACATGGGACGCGAACTGACTCAATCATACACAAAGAAAGACATTAGTGTGACTTTTCCACTTATAATAAATTGTGGGTCAAGTTCTAATGCTTGTGGTTTAACGGCGATATGGCGCCCCATGGAAAAAAATAATTTGGAGCTGTCTTTCTAACAGTTGGGGTAGTGCATATAAAAACTGTTGTGATAGCACATAGGAACACTGTTGGGATAGCACATAGAAATACTGTTGGCATAGCACCTTAAAACACTGTTGGCATAGCACATTAAAACACTGTTGGCATAGCACATTAAAATACTTTTGGCATAGCACATTAAAACACTGTTGGCATAGCACATAGAAATACTGTTGGCTTAGCACATTAAAACACTGTTGGGGATAGCACACACTGACATTGTAGGTGATAGCACACACTGACATTGTAGGTGATAGCACACACTTACACTGTTGGGGATAGCACACATTGACACTGTTGGGGATAGCACACACTGACACTGTTGGGGATAGCACACACTGACACTGTTGGGGATAGCACACACTGACACTGTTGGGGATAGCACGCAATGACACTGTTGCGGATAGCACACACTGACACTGTTGAGGATAGGACACTCTGACACTGTTGGGGATAGCGCACACTGAGTCTGTTGAAGATAGCACACACTGACACTGATGGGGATAGCGCACACTGACACTGTTGGCGCTAGCACACACTGACACTGTTCGGGAGAGCACACACTGAGTCTGTTGAGGATAGCACACCTGATACTGTTGGGGATAGCACACACTGCCACTGTTGGGAATAGCACACACTGAGGCCGTTGGGGATGGCACACACTGACACTGTTGGGGATAACACACTCTGACACTGTTGGGGATAGCACACACTGAGTCAATTGGGGATAGCACACCTGATGCTGTTGGGGATAGCAGACACTGACACTGTTGGGGATAGCACACTCTGACACTGCTGGGGATAGCACACACTGACACTGTTGGGGATAGCACACACTGAGTCTGTTGGGGATAGCACACACTGACACTGTTAGGGATAGTACACACTGACATTGTTGGTGATAGCACACACTTACACTGTTGGGATAGCACACATTGACACTGTTGGGGACAGCACACACTGACACTGTTGGGGATAGCACGCACTGATACTGTTTGGGATATCATACACTGACACTGTTAGGGATAGCGCACACTGAGTCTGTTGAAGATAGCACACACTGAGTCTGTTGAGGATAGCACACCTGATACTGTTGGGGATAGCACACACTGCCACTGTTGGGAATAGCACACACTGAGGCCGTTGGGGATGGCACACACTGACACTGTTGGGGATAACACACTCTGACACTGTTGGGGATAGCACACACTGAGTCAATTGGGGATAGCACACCTGATGCTGTTGGGGATAGCAGACACTGACACTGTTGGGGATAGCACACTCTGACACTGCTGGGGATAGCACACACTGAAACTGTTGGGGATAGCACACACTGAGTCTGTTGGGGATAGCACACACTGACACTGTTAGGGATAGTACACACTGACATTGTTGGTGATAGCACACACTTACACTGTTGGGATAGCACACATTGACACTGTTGGGGATAGCACACACTGACACTGTTGGGGATAGCACGCAATGACACTGTTGCGGATAGCACACACTGACACTGTTGCGGATAGCACACACTGACACTGTTGGGGATAGCACGCACTGATACTGTTTGGGATATCATACACTGACACTGTTAGGGATAGCGCACACTGAGTCTGTTGAAGATAGCACACACTGACACTGTTGGGGATAGCACACTCTGACACTGTTAGGGATAGCACACTCTGACACTGCTTGGGATAGCACACACTGACACTGTTGGGATAGCACACACTGACAATGTGTTGGGAATAACACAAATGACACTGTTTGGGATAGCACACACTGACAGTGTTGGGGATAGCACACACTGACACTGTTGGGGATAGCACGCAATGACACTGTTAAGAATAGCACGCACTGATACTGTTGGGGATATCAGACACTGACACTGTTAGGGATTGCGCACACTGAGTCTGTTGAAGATAGCACACACTGACACTGTTGGGGATAGCACACACTGACACTGTTGGGGACAGCGCACACTGACACTGTTGGCGATAGCACACACTGACATTGTTGAGGATAGCACACACTGACACTGTTGCGGATAGCACACACTGACACTGTTGGGGATAGCACACACTGACACTGTTGGGGATAGCACACTCTGACACTGTTGGGGATAGCACACTCTGACACTGTTGGGGATAGCACACACTGACACTTTTGGGGATAGCACACACTGATACTTTTGGGGATAGCACACACTGACACTGTTGGGGATAGCACATACTGAGGCTGTTGGGGATAGCACACACTGACACTGTTAGGGATAGCGCACACTGACACTGTTGGGAATAGCACACACTGATACTGTTGGGGATAGCACACACTGATACTGTTAGGGATAACACACACTGACACTGTTTGGGATAGCACACTCTGACACTGCTTGGGATATCACACACTCGACACTGTTGGGGAGAGCACACACTGAGGCTGTTGGGGATAACACATACTGAGGCTGTTGGGGATGGCACACACTGACACTGTTGGGATAGCACACACTGACACTGTTTGGGATAGCACGCACTGGCACTGTTTGGGATAGCACACTCTGACACTGTTGGGATAGCACACACTGACACTGTTGGCGATAGCACACACTGACACTGTTGGGGATAGCACACACTGACACTGTTGGGGATAGCACGCAATGACACTGTTAAGAATAGCACGCACTGATACTGTTGGGGATATCAGACACTGACACTGTTAGGGATTGCGCACACTGAGTCTGTTGAAGATAGCACACACTGACACTGTTGGGGAGAGCACACACTGAGGCTGTTGGGGATAGCACACACTGACACTGTTGGGGATAGCACACACTGACACTGTTGGGGAGAGCACACACTGAGGCTGTTGGGGATAACACATACTGAGGCTGTTGGGGATGGCACACACTGACACTGTTGGGATAGCACACACTGACACTGTTTGGGATAGCACGCACTGGCACTGTTTGGGATAGCACACTCTGACACTGTTGGGATAGCACACACTGACACTGTTGGCGATAGCACACACTGACACTGTTGGGGAGAGCACACACTGAGGCTGTTGGGGATAGCACACACTGACACTGTTGGGGATAGCACACTCTGACACTGTTGGGGATAGCACACACTGAGTCTATTGGGGATAGCACACCTGATGCTGTTGGGGATAGCACACACTGACACTGTTGGGGATAGCACACTCTGACACTGCTGGGGATAGCACACACTGACACTGTTGGGGATAGCACACACTGAGTCTGTTGGGGATAGCACACACTGACAGTGATGGGGATAGCACACACTGACACTGTTGGGGATAGCACGCAATGACACTGTTGAGGATAGCACACACTGATACTGTTGGGGATATCAGACACTGACACTGTTAGGGATTGCGCGCACTGAGTCTGTTGAAGATAGCACACACTGACACTGTTGGGGATAGCACACACTGACACTGTTGGGGATAGCGCACACTGACACTGTTGGGGATAGCACACACTGACATTGTTGAGGATAGCACACACTGACACTGTTGCGGATAGCACACACTGACACTGTTGGGGATAGCACACACTGACACTGTTGGGGATAGCACACTCTGACACTGTTGGGGATAGCACACACTGACACTTTTGGGGATAGCACACACTGATACTGTTGGGGATAGCACACACTGACACTGTTGGGGATAGCACACACTGAGGCTGTTGGGGATAGCACACACTGACACTGTTAGGGTAGCGCACACACTGACACTGTTGGGAATAGCACACACTGATACTGTTGGGGATAGCACACACTGATACTGTTAGGGATAACACACACTGACACTGTTTGGGATAGCACACTCTGACACTGCTTGGGATATCACACACTGACACTGTTGGGGAGAGCACACACTGAGGCTGTTGGGGATAACACATACTGAGGCTGTTGGGGATGGCACACACTGACACTGTTGGGATAGCACACACTGACACTGTTGGGGATAGCACGACACTTGGGGATAGCACACACTGACACTGTTGGGATAGCACACACTGACACTGTTGGGATAGCACACACTGACACTGTTGGCGATAGCACACACTGACACTGTTGGGGAGAGCACACACTGAGGCTGTTGGGGATAGCACACACTGACACTGTTGGGGATAGCACACTCTGACACTGTTGGGGATAGCACACACTGAGTCTATTGGGGATAGCACACCTGATGACACTGTTGGGGATAGCACACACT